GTTTTTTTCAGTGAGGGGGTTGTTCCACCCCTCTTCTGGTTCAAGGAGTCTTCCTTGAATCTCGTCTTCCTCGTCAGGTTCATCAGAGCGACGTCGGCGCGTCGTCATATTCGCGATGATATTTCTGGGGGCTCCTGATGAAGGTCCTTGAGATCCTTGCTGATGTTGGTGTTGCGCAGGAGGACGAGGTGTCTGTTGCTGAGACTGGGGATGACGAGCATCTTGTCGGCCGACCCAGTTGTTGTGGTGAGTGGAATTTGGGTGGCGATAGTTGGATCGGGACTTGCATCGATCCGTTGAGTGTCCGAAGACCTTGCATATTTTGCAATAATGGCGCCTTGGTTGTCGTCGCTCTTCACGGTTGTTTGCGTAGAAGGCGAGGCGCTCTCGGCGCGGCGCGGAGCTTGTTCTGCTCGAGTCCATGTCCTGCTGTTCGGACAGGAGTGCGGCGCATAGCGCGGCTTCTGAGATTGTTCCTCGCTGTCGGAGTAACGCCTTACAGGGCTTCCACTCTGGCCCGAGTCCTTGGAGGACTATATTGACGAAGATCTCTTCCGAGATCGTACTCCCATGCTTCGTGATCTGGTCACGGATGTTACGACAGCGGTTGATATAAGGATTCGCTTTCTCCCCGTGCCCCATTTTTATCTCCAGGAGTTGCTGCAGAAGCCTGCTGGCGGTGGCCGAATCCTTCGGCTGATAAACTTCAACGAGATGCTTCCAAGCTTCCAAGGCTGGAGCGTCGCTCTCTTTGTAGGAGCGGATGTTGAGTTGTTCCGCAGGCGTCATGTTGCGTAGCAGCACACTGTAGGCCATGAGAGACTCACTGTAGTATTGAGCCCTGGCGACTTCGGTGTTTTCCACCGGTTTAGGATAGGAGCCGTCGAAGTAATGGTAGATCTGCGCCGTTTGTAGGAGGAGCTCAAGCTCAAAACTCCATGTGTAGAAGTCCTTGCCGTCAAACGCGGCAGTAGTTTTGATTTTTGAAACGCTGAGGAAGCGTGTTTGCGCAGAGTTGATGGCTTCATCACTTGGACGGGGGGCAGTTGTTGTTGATTTGTCTGTGTCGAGGGAGAAGGTATGCGCGGCGGTATCACGGCTTTTCTCAGCCGGCTGTCCAGGTTGAACTGGTTGGGAAGAGGTTCCCGCATCGCCTTTGCGCAGTTCTTGGAGCTCTTTCTCCATAGTTGAAAGGCGAGCGAAAAGTTGCTCGAGGGCGGCAGTGCCGATCGTGGTTGTCGCCTCATTTGTCGCAGCCGGATTGGATTGTCCTTCAGCCGTCAGATTTGCTTGGCCTCCGGATCCTCCGGCCATCTTGGTCTTGGAGCGTGTGCCGCTCGCCAGATTTTGGCTCGGCGAATTTCACGGAAGTGAAGTTGCAAAGAATCCCTGAGTAGCTCTCATACCATGTTACAATCCCAAGTGGGACTTAGCCAAGGATCGCTCAGGGTTGATCGCAGAGTAGTGTTGCAGCGGAAGTTTGAATCTCATGTCAGAGTGAATGTAAATGACTGAGTTGATAATAGCATGCATACATCGAGTTTATATAAGAATACAGGGAATACGAAAACACCTAGACTAGCCATGTACTCTAAGGGGTACATTCCCTTATTACAACCGAATTCAAACCGTGCGGCGCGGGAACCCGTTTCAAACCTGTTCCCGCTCTTTTCACTTCAAATGTTTCTGCCAGCATCGGTCTTGGTCAGGCGGTTGCTGCGTCGCTTCGACTCTTCTGACTCCTCGACTTCGTACTCGGTAGAGTCGGCTCCTGCAGCATACAGGAATGCCTTCTCATAAAACTTCATATCGTAACAATTTTTGTGTGTTTTTTCCTGCGTTAGTCGGCCTGATTATTCCCCTTAATGTTATAGGGTACGTGCTCGTAGGCTCATTGTCTCCCACTATGTTTTACGTCGCGTCCCCCCCCCCCCCCTGCGTTCGACGAGCTCGTTCCTTTCCCATTATGTTTACGGTGCCTCTTTTTTCCCGAAGCATAGGCCAACGCAACATGATACAGTGACGCACGGTTTTGCAAAAGCATTAGCGCAATGTTAGGGCGTGTTCCTACGGCCTCATATCAGGAAACCTCGTATCAAGAATGTACCTTTTGCCCGGTAAAATTAGCGAGAGGTTTTGGGTTTAGGGGAATTTTCAGTGTGAGCCTGATTCGAGGTTGTCTTGATACGAGGATAGGAACACGCTCTTACAAACACAGTTAGCCGGTTGGGGCGAAGAACGAGCAATGCCCGTTGTCTGTGTTGTACGCGATGTAGTCAGGTGAGATATAAACATTTAATAATTTTAAATAGAGTTATGAGTTATTCATGCTAAATGTGTTTGGTTATTCATAACACAATGCATGATAAGATTTTGGTCAGATGTGCGTTATTCATCTCACTATCGTTTATGAATGGGTGGCAATCAAAGACATTCACGGATTATATGCTTCAAACATCTGCTCAAATATATGCATACATCCACATTCAAGGTCGGTGAGCTGCTTTCTTTATGTTCAACTTGTTCTATAACTCACAACACAGTATGATAGGGGTTTAGTCAGATGTGCACTATTCCTCTCACTCTCTAGTGTATAAACGGGTTAGATGTTTATAAAGGTGGCAACAAGGACACTCATGGGTGTCTTGAAATCACAGCTCGTATTCTCAGTCTGTTCGGGAGTGGTTTGATTCGGCAGTAGATTTCCTCTGCTTGTATATTTTCTGAGAGCCTTTCAAATGCGAAGGACATCCATGGCGAAAATTATGCGGGAACCAGTTCCAACCAATCAGAGCAGATTCTGACATGAGAAACTCGTGCAACCGCCATCTCAATCATATGGAAGTGGGGATGTCGATCTGTGACAATAGCGAGGTTGTGCCCTTCAGTTGTTGTTCCTGCCCACCTAGCCTTTCACAGCCAGGGGGCTCGTAAAATAGGGGGTGGTCTGATGGTGAAACCGGAGATCCTGGGATTTGTGGCTCTCGATCCCTATCATATTGCAGACAGTAGACTCGAATATTCTTATCACGGCTAAGGGAAAAATATAATATGTTGTACTCACCAACCACCTGTTCGAGGGCGTGTGCAGCTGTCGGCGTCAAAGTATTGTTTCAGGGGAACCCTTGCTCGAAGTCTTGTTTCAGGCGACCCTAGATAGTTCACCACCAATCACCAACCATTTTCCGGCTCTTTCTGCGGGTTTAGTCAGTGAGCGCGCGAAACCCCGAGATTGTCAGTCAGTGGCGCATTGACTCTTGACCCAGTTCTGTGCAATCCATCACCGTTGAACAAATTGGCGATGGTGAAACTGACACCCCCTGTGGGTGCTTGCTTGGTCTGGCTGGTCCTTCCCTTCCCCGTTCTCCGCGTATCTCCATTTGCTCTGCAGCATTCATGGCAGCTTCGCTTCTAGGCTCGCTTTCCCTACACCTCCATCTCAGCCCTGCTGCTCCTCCTAGAACAACCCCGTCAACCTGTGCAGCTCCGAGCGTCGGGTGAACGGGAATGGGTGTGCTAGATTGGACCCTAAACCAGAATCTAGGAAACACGCGTTCGCAAAACCATCAGGCCTTGTCGCTCTGATAATTTCTCAGCTGGTAACATATCTGACCTCAGCTGACTAACTTATTCCAAGCTAGCGAGCCACCGCCGGTAATTCCTGGTTGGCTGGAAATTAGTCTTGGGAGCAGGATGGCGGACACTCGTTTGCAGACTCTGTTGAGCACATTGTGCGACAAAGGCGGGTGGACGTACGCCGTCTTTTGGCGCGCTCCCGAGCTGCACTGCACGTCACAAGTGTAATGCCCCAGCTTTTTAGTGTGTCTCTCTCCTTCGCCGACGCTGCTCCTCACAGGCGTTCCGGTCCTGGCAAGATAGTTTTTACCCCTTGCTTCGACATTCGAGTTGGAAAGTAGTTCATACGTCGCTCGGTCTTCTTCTCTCAGTGTTGTTCTGATGCTTAAGGTTTCTCTGAATCTGTCAGACTCGCTGTCGCCGTAGCCAGGTCTCAGTCAGCGACAGCAGCTGACGCGGGAACATTGCGCTCCAACGGATTCGTGCTTAGCAAAAAGGTGTTCTTAGACAGTGCCGTAGTTAGGGTTTTCGATATCGAGCCGCGGTCCACTTCCGAGGCGTTGTCACACCTGGCACTTTAGGAGACAATGGAGATAGCTAGCTATAGTTGGTTGACTCGTGGTAATGCTCAGCGTTAACTCGTGAAACAGGCTTCTCTCTAGGGATTCTCCCGAATGACTACAAACGTAGTTTTTTTCTGTCAACTCCATTGCAGATTCTTAACGACATGGGCGTAGCGCTACTCTTGGATATAGTTTTCTTGCAAAACTCCCTCGCTTTCGCGTCCGCCGTCTTTTGTTATAATGACAAGGCTCGACCCGAGTGGATGGATTTGAGTGACCCGACATCAGCTTCCTTCTCGCCATGGCGGCTTTCCGCTACTCGTCAGTTATTTTCAAAACCGCTCCTGCGCGAGTTCACGAACGTGCTTGTTCCACGAAATCTCCGCGAATCGGCTTTCTCCCCTGTTTCCGTGCAAAAGCCGTCGCTCTAATGTTTTCCGTGCGATCATACCCTTTCCGCCTCCATTACCCATCATCGTCAATGCATTTTCCTTGTCCTAGTTCAATTGTCCCCTTGCAACCTTCACTTTTCCTCCTTCCCCCAGTCCCCCCTCCTCCCGCCCTCCTCTCCGCCGTTTCCTCGTTTCCCCCTTCCCCCCATTCTGGTCCGCCCCACGCAGAGCGGTGCTGGCGTGGGAGGCGGCTGTTCGTGTCTGCACTCAGTTGCCACCCACTACCGCCAACACGACTCTCCCCTATTCCCCGCTCCCCTCTCCCCTCTCCCCTCTCCCCCTTCTCTTCTCTCCTCTCCCCCTTCCCCCCTCCCCCCTCCCCCCTCCCCCTTCCCCCCCCCACCCCCTTCCCTCCGTCCTCCCCCTTCCCCTCTCCCCTTTCCCACTCCCCCCTCTCCCCCCCATGCAGAGCCGCGCTGGCGTGGGAGGGCGGCTACTTTCTGCTGACGAACGTGTTCGACCAGAAGCAGACGAGCGGCGCGTCATTGACGGAGGCTGACGTGGCGCGCATGCTGGCGCTGCAGGAAGAGTTCACCGCCATGCGCTCCCACCGCTACCCCTGCCACACCGGGTGAGTGAGCGAGGGAGCACCGCTATCCTTGCCACAGCGGGTGAGTGAGTGAGTGAGGGAGGGAGGGAGGGAGGGAGGGAGGGAGGGAGGGAGGGAGGGAGGGAGGGAGGGAGGGAGGGAGGGAGGGAGGGAGGGAGGGAGGGAGGGAGGAGGGAGGGAGGGAGGGAGGGAGGGAGGGAGGGAGGGAGGGAGGGAGGGAGGGAGGGAGGGAGGGAGGGAGGGAGGGAGGGAGGGAGGGAGGGAGGGAGGGAGGGAGGGAGGGAGGGAGGGAGGGAGGGAGGGAGGGAGGGAGGGAGGGAGGGAGGGAGGGAGGGAGGGAGGGAGGGAGGGAGGGAGGGAGGGAGGGAGGGAGGGAGGGAGGGAGGGAGGGAGGGAGGGAGGGAGGGAGGGAGGGAGGGAGGGAGGGAGGGAGGGAGGGAGGGAGGGAGGGAGGGAGGGAGGGAGCGAGCGAGGGAGGGAGGGAGGGAGGGAGGGAGGGAGGGAGGGAGGGAGGGAGGGAGGGAGGGAGGGGGGAAGGGAGGGAGGGGGCAAGGGAAGGAGGGAGCACCGCTACCCGTGCCCATTCCCGATGCCCTGTCCCGCCTCTCTGATTCCTCCCGAACACCCTTCGGTCTGCAGGCTGCTGGGCAGGGTGGCGATGACAGGGGGGTACCGGCTGCTGTGTGAGCCGGTCAAGTCACGCGCCATCAGAGGCATGGGGCGCCTGCACCTGGTGAGACTGGATGCATTATATTTTTCTGGCAAGGTTTTTAAGGAGTGGGGTGCCTGGACCTCGTAAGCATGTATTTTTTAATAGACCATCATATTGAAACTACATGTGTAGTCGAATACCTTAGGTGTTATGGCTTATGCATTTACCTTTTATCGCCTCCTAACCGCAACACGCATTCATGTCCTGTGTTACCATGCTATGCCGTGCTATGCCACACCATGCCATACCTCGTCATACCATGCCATACCATGCCATCTCATGGTGGAGCAGGACGGCAGTAAGGACGAGGAGCAGCCCGAGGAGTGGGACAGGCAGTTCGCTGCAGGGGTCAAGGTGAGGCAGTTCGCTGCAGGGGTCAAGGTGAGGCAGTTCGCTGCAGGGGTCAAGGTGAGGCAGTTCGCTGCAGGGGTCAAGGTGAGGCAGTTCGCTGCAGGGGTCAAGGTGAGGGCCATCCTCCTCACACACCATCCTCTCCCCTCTCTGTTTCTTTTCCCTTGATTTTATCAGTTGCAACTTCAATCCTGTCATCAGATCCATCGCTGCTTCTTCCTTCCGCATCGTCGCCTCATTCATCCTGTGTATACATCGTCTCCTCGTGGAAATGCCACCGCTCATTTCCACTCCACTCCATCCCACTCCCCTCCACTCCACCCCACTCCACTCCACTCCTCTCCACTCCACTCCACTCCATGCAGGTCATAGCGTTGATCGGTGTGCCACAGGGCGTGCTTCAGATTGCCGCCTGCACGCCGGTATGTCTCCAGTGCCCAAATGTGTGGTATCTTGCCAATCACACTCCTCCCATTCAACCACGTCCCCACATCACACTCCTCCCATCCAACCCCCTCTGGTTTCGCTCCTGGCTCATTCTCATTCACCTCCCTCATTCCCTCCCCCGTCCCCTCCCCCACTCTCTCCCCCACTCTCTCCCCCAATCTTACCCCCACTCCCTCCCCAACGCCTCTCCCTTTCCCCTTGGCACTTCATTTTTCATGCTGCAGATTAAGCCCACCAATGAGATGATTGCAAAGCTCCGAACCAGATTCGACGAGTTTCGGAAGCCCCCCCGAGTCACTCCTTTGTTAAACCTGCAAGCTGCCCTTCCAAACCAATCCATCCTTCCAAACCAATCAACACCTCCCCCAAATACCACCTCCGCTAACCCCGGCCGCCTAACTGCTCCCAGCCAATCACAGCCGAGCGCAGCCAAGTCGGCAAACATTTCATCAGAAGACCTCATGCTCTTGAAAAAACTTCTGGGCAGCTCTGGAGAAAATCTTACAGCTGCCCAGGCGTCTCAGCTCTTGGCCCAGCTTGCGCTGCTATCTGGGAAAACACCTGACGCACAGGAAACCCCAAGAGGGGGGCAAGACGGGATGAGAGTGGAGAGGCGAGAGTGTATACCTGGCCTGCAGCCCTCGCATCAACAGCAACAGCACCTTCAGCAGCAGCATCAGCAGAAGCAGGGGCAGCAGCAGCAGCTGCTGCAGCAACAGCAGCAACAGCAGCAGCAACAGCGCCTTCAGCAGCTGCAGCACTTTCAGCAGCAGGGGCGGACGGCGAAGTGGGGCGAGGGGCGTAGGCAGGATGCTGCCGGTGGTGCTGTTGCTGCTGGAGCCGCTCCTGCTGCTGCTACTGCTGCTACTGCTGCTACAAATGGGCCGCAGCAGGGAAGGCCAAGGGAGGGCTGGACTGGGGCAGGCTTAGCAGGGGGAGGCGGATTCGGTTCCTCGGCAGGTGCTTTGCAGAGGGAGAATTGGGAAGCGGGGAACGGGATAGGGACGAGTGGGGCAAATGGGCCAAGTGGGTCAAGTGAGGCGGGACTAAGGTTTGCAGGAAAGGTCTCGGGGGGGAGAGGGAAGGATGAATGCGGAGGTGGTGATGATGAGGCTGCTGAGGAGGGCACAGGGGAGTGGCGGCCGGGGGAGAATGTGGGGGATAGTAATGATGGAGGAGGGGGGGTGTGGGGTATGGAGAGAGGGAGAGGTGCGTGTGAAGGGGCGGCAGGGCAGGAGGTGTATGAGCTGTCGTCGGGGCCAGGGGGGACGGATATGTCGGTGTGTGGAGGGGAAGGGGACGCCGGGGAAGGAGGTGCTGCCAGTGGTGCCACTGGTGGTGGTGGTTCTACCAGCTGTGGTGCCATTGGTTATGGTTCTGGAGGGGCAGATATGGCAGGGCTAGGAGCAGATGGAGGAGGGGCAGCAGGAGCAGCAAGAGGGGCAGCAAGGGGGACAGCAGCGGCGCCCACACGTGTACTAACAGGGGTTGTAGCAGGGGCACTAGCTGGGGCACCTGCAGTTTCACCTGAAATGAGTCCCAAGCCTTGCTCCCCTGTCACTCTTCCCCCCCTTGCTCCCACCCGGCCTCGCATGTCCCCACCTGACATGCCTTCAGCACAGCAGCTCAATGACTCTGCTGCCACTGCTACTGCTGCTGGTAATGCCGCTGCTGCTAGTGCTGCCACTGCTGTTGCTACTGGCAATGGTGCTGCAGCAGCCGCAACCCCTCCTCTCCACCCCACCGCCTCACCTGCAGACTTGGCTGAATTCGACGCTCTCTGTGTCACCCTAGACCACTCCCGCACCTTCCCCACAACAGGACAGCTGCTGCCGCCCGGACTCACCCTCATCGCCACGTCCCCACCTCATGCTGCCGGCCCAGGCTCCCCGTCCGTAGCAGCACCCAACGCACACACCCCTCCATTCAGTGGTGGTAACCACGTTAGTAACACCAACCATATAAGCAACGGTCAGCAGCAGCATCAGCACACGGGCGTGCACGCGACGGTGTCAGCAGACAAGCCTCCCTCCCACCGCAGGTCACGCTCGCTCGCCCAGCAGCGCCGCCACACCTTCTCCAGCGCCGACCGTGCTGCCCTCGCCCGCCAGCTCTCCCCTTCCCGTGCCCTCCTGGGGGGGGGCTTCCGCCTGGGGGGGGCGCCCGGGGGCGGAGCAGGCGGAGGGGGGGATGGGGGAGTGGGCGGGGCAGGAGTGGGAGGCGGAATGGGGGCAGGAGGTGGAGCGGGAGGGGGTGTGGGTGCATCTGGGTACAACCATCCGTCGGCTGCTCTAAGCAGGATGGTATCAAGCCCTCTGTTTAAACGCAGCCTCAGCTGCACGAGTCCCATCCAGGGCATGACCCGAGCAGCAGCCGCCCATGCTGCTGCCCACATGCGGCGCCACTCCTTCTCCACCTCGCCCTCCTCCTCCCCCTCCTCTTCCGCCAACACCACCTCTGCTGCCAGGGCGATGCATAGAGTGGCGTCCCCCACTGCTAGCTCAGGGGGGGGCGGCATGGGGGGAGGGATGGGCGGGGGGAGGCATGGGGGTTTCACGAGCCGGCATGTGTCGAGTCTTTCCAACCCCGAGTTTCTGTCTGAGTTTCTGAATCTGTGCCCGTTTGGTGGGTCCCCCAGGGGTGTGGGCGTGGGGCGGGGCAGGGAGATGGCAGGAGGGGGAATGGGAGGGGTAATGGGAGGGGGTATGGGAGGGGGGATAGGGGGAACAAGGTTGGCAGGAGCAGGGATGGAAGGAGGGGGGGCATGTGCAGGGACAGGGGGAATGGCAACAGGGGAAGCAGCAATGGTGCATGAAGCGGTGTCAAACCAGGGAGGGGTGGAAGGAGAGATGGGAGGAGAGGGACGAGGAGATGGGTGGGGAAGTGGAGGGGCCGCAGCAGAAGGGGGTGTAGGACTGGGAGGGGAGGGGGGGATGGATGAGATGGAATGGCTACTTCAGGAGATGATAATGATGCATGGTAGTGCTGGTGGTGCTGCCGCCACCCCTGACGGCAATCCTGGCATAGATGCTGGTACCGCTGATGGCACTGGTATCGCAGCTAATGCGTATGCTGCTGCTCTTGACGCGTGCGGCTTGGCTGATGGGGACGCTTGCTTGGATGTAGACATGGGGATGGGGATGAGTGAGGGCATGGAGATGGGCATGGGGTTGGGAGGAAGAGGGGATGGGGAGGAGCAGAGTGGTGTATTGATGGGTGGAGAGAGGTGGGGAGGTATGGATGCCATGGATGGTGCGGGCGGCATTGATGGGATTGGTGGGATGGGGGGGATGGGTACGGGTGAAGAAATGGGTGTTGGTGCAGACGGGATGCGGGAACGAGGGTTGGGTGGGGCCACTGCTGGTTCTGGTGGTGGTGGTGGTGGTGCTGCTGCTGCTGCTGCCGGTGGTGGTGTTGAGAGCAATGCGTTGAGGGTGGCAGAGAACGCCACTCTCCAGATGCTGCTGCACCGCTGCAACGGAGACCCTTCTGCCGCTGCACTGCTGCTCGAGAACCTGCTGCTGCAGAAACAGCAGCAGGGGCAGCAGCAGCAGCAGCAACAGCAGAGGGGAGGCATGAGTGGCAGCTCACGGCAAGGCATAGTCAAATCGATCTCGCACTCCCAGCCCTCCCGCACACTCCACTCCCTGCACACTTCTGCCTCCCCTCCTACCGCGTCCCCTTCCTCTGCCTCCCCCCCACATGCAATCCCCCATACTCCCCCACATGCATCCGCACATGCACCCCCGCTTCCCCCCACCCATGGGTCCGGGCATCCCCTGCCCCCCTCGCACTCCCGCGCCCTCCCAGCAGTTCCCCTCCCCCGCCCTGCCTCCCGCTTCTTTCCCAAATCCGCCTCTCTGCCTGGAAATCTCCCCCGCCCCCCCCCACCTGCTGCTGCTGCTGGTAGCGGCGGTGGTGGTGGTGGTGGGGTTGTGGGGGAACGGATTTCTGCCAGTCCACTAGGTAGGCAACCGGTGCAGCCTGTGCTGCATCAACAGCAGCAGCAGCAGCAGCAGCATCAGCAGCAACGGCAGTTATTACAGCAGCAACAGCAACAACGTCAACAGTTACAAGAGCAGCAGCAGCAGCAGATGGTGCAGCAGCTGAGACAGAAACAGGCCGCACTGCAGCTTCAGCAAGTGCTACAGCTACAGCAACAGCAGCAGCAACAAGAGCAGCAGCAGCAAGAGCAGGAACACTTATCCCTGGAGGAACAGCAGCAGCAGGACCTCGTACTAAGTTATTTGATATCCCGCAAGCAAACTCCTGATGCTACTGCTCAGTCCCTGGTCGCAAGCCTTACCCCTGCAGCCCGGGCTGACCTGCTCTCTCAACTGCTGCTGGAGCAGAATAGACCGGCAAACACGCCGTTTGGAGCACATGCACATGCACACGCACAGGTGGAAGCGCAGGCACAGGTGGAAGCGCAGGCACAGGTGGAAGCGCAGGCACAGGTGGAAGCGCAGGCACAGGCACAGGTGGTAGCAACACGTGTGGCAGAAGCACGCGTGGCAGGGGCACAGGAACTTAAAGCACAGGATGGTGGGAGTATGGATGGACGAACCTTCCACCAGCCATGTGAAGAAGCTTCCATATCTGAGCGACTGGAGGGTGGTGGTAAAGCCTCCGCCGAACCACCGCGCGTCCGGTGCGGGCACCCCGAACCTATGGCCCGCAGTGCTTCCGAACCTGGAACTGCAGGTTGGGACGAGAGAGGGGGAGTCGGTGCCGAGCCTGACGGTGCAGGTTGGAGAGTTGGAGAGGGCTTGATGCAGCATCCAAACATTTATCAGGACTCTGTACCACAACCAGGTGCAGGTATTGCCACAGCGGCAGCAGCAGGAGGAGGAGGAGGAGCGGCTGCAGCAGCAGCATTAGGAGAACTAGAAGCGGAACTAACTGCAACAGCAGCAGCAGCAGCAGCAGCAGAAGCAGCAGGAACAGTAGGAACAGAAGCAGGGCCTGTGTTTTCCCCTGGTTTATTAGGCGCAGGAGACTTTTCAGGTGTACAGAGCGGTTTAGATGTGCTTATAGAGGGCGGAGGGGGCAGTGACTTCCAAATGGCTGCTCCTGGTGACGTGGAAGGGTTGATGGGGGCGGGGATTGGAATGGGAGGAGAGGAGGAGCTAGGAGAGGAGTGGGCAATGTTCTTAGATGTGATGGATGCACCGCCGATACTGGATGATTTTGATGAGGTGAGTAGGAGGGGTGGGGAGGGTGGGTGAGGAGGAGCTAGGAGATGGGTCATGTTCTTAGATGTGATGGATCCACCACCGATATTGGATGATCTGGATGAGGTGGGGACTTTTGAAGCATGCATGACCTTCTGAAAGGTGGTTCTTAGATTTCTTGTGTGCATTGTCAGTGTTGATTGATGTGGATGAGATGAGGGGAGTGAGAGGGGTCAGGAGGGGTGGGGAGGAGTTAGGAGAGGAGTGGGCCATGTTTTTAGATGTGATGGATGCACCGCCAATACTGGATGATCTGAATGAGGTGAGTAGGAGGGGTGGGGAGAGGGGTGAGGAGGAGTGAAGAGGAGAGGAGTGAGGACGAGTGGTGAGGCGGGTGGGAGAAGTGAGAGGTAGGGGTGCGGAAGAGGAGGGGTAAATTGAGGGAGAGGCTGTTAGGGATGAGAAGGTGCTTGGTAGCCTGGTGGCATTTGGGTGAGTGCTTTCATGGGTGCTTGCTTTCATGGGTGCTTGCTTTCATGGGTGCTTGCTTTCATGGGTGCTTGCTTTCATGGGTGCGTGCTTTCATGGGTGCGTGCTTTCATGGGTGCTTGCTTTCATGGGTGCGTGCTTTCATGGGTGCTTGCTTTCATGGGTGCTTGCTTTCATGGGTGCTTGCTTTCATGGGTGCTTGCTTTCATGGGTCCTTGCTTTCATGGGTGCTTGCTTTCATGGGTGCTTGCTTTCATGGGTGCTTGCTTTCATGGGTGCTTGCTTTCATGGGTGCTTGCTTTCATGGGTGCTTGCTTTCATGGGTGCTTGCTTTCATGGGTGCTTGGCGTGTGAGCGGCCTGCTGAGGGGGTCAGCCATCACCCATCCCTGTCTCTCTACCAGTCATCTCATCAACTCATCAACCCCACCCAGCTTCTTGTTCCGAGGATGTTTCTCTTGCTGATATGTTGATTGCCTTGCGTCTCTTCATGTCCGCTGCCCAATGTGTCGAGAAGCAATTTGTTTCCTAAACATAACAGTAAGAGGTTCTACTCACTGCACTGCACCTGTACTCGTTCCTTTCAGGTGATGGGCTCCACTGTTGCATGACTCGTTACACTTGCGCTGCATGTTTGAAGCTGGTAAGCGTGACATGGGCTGAGATATAACGTGGTACGACATCGCAACGGCATCGCGTTGCACAGCCTCTCTTGTCACACATGTACCATTCCCTAGAAAGCGCTAAGCGTGTACATTGGGGAAGAGTAGGCATATGTTTTCATGATATAAGTGGTCCTCCCCTTTCCAGTAGCTTTTGGTGATTGGCACTAGAATATGTATAAAATTTTGCACAAAAAAATGCAGTAGTGCTAATATCGGAATACAGATTGTTTATTCTCCTCACCCAGCTAGGTTCCATGAATAATTCCTCGTATATTTTTCTAGTTTCCTGCTATTCAGGAGGGCCCCTCGTGTGTGGGACGAAACCGACAGGGTTCTAGGTCTTTTAGGGGTTGGGCAATGTCACTGACAATGCTCTGACGAGTTTCAACATCCAACATATTCACCACTGTACATTGTGCTCAAATCTCCACTCGTCAGGGCTTTGAGTCAGGAAGGGATCCACACTAGCCAATACGGGACCATGCCTCCGCGGACTTTTAGGACCAGGAGTCTCAAGTCGACGTGTTTTAGGGGACCTGTCATCTCAAAGTTGTGAGCTAGTTCCAACCTGTAAGTGCAGGATGCTCGATGAGGTGTACTCTAGAAGCAACAGTGTGTTTCGATTCTCGTCAGAAAACAGAGTAGGAGTTCTGAAAACCCTATGGGAATGCTGTGATCCCACAAGGTACCAGTGGTGCAAGGTTTCGCCAGGTTTAGGGCGTGGGCCCAATCGGGTTTGATCGCCTCGATCAGCCGCGATCAATAATTTCCAGGAAGCCAGGAAGCCAAATTCAGGCAATCAGGGGCAATCAGCTGATCGCGATCAACTGATCGCCCCAACTCGATCAGACTCGATTTACACCCCGATCATAGTCGATTTTCCTCGATCACCCATGATCAATTGATTGCGTATGATCGGGCGCCACAGCGACACTTACGAATAGTTACACTGTATTACAGGGTCTCGTCAACCCCTCACGAAGATGTCCAGCCTGTACAGAACTTCCTGGAATGGCACCCACTTCGCCATCCAATCATTACTGGGGAGAATCCAGAGTGGACAACACGTGCGGAGTGGGGTTCACGATATTACTGGGATACAAAGATTTTCGCCTGAAGCCTTCTGGTCGCCAGTCTCGCTAATATTTGGCCGAAAATGCCAGGTAATTGGACCGCGCTTGCTGAGCAGCCAAGGAGAATCTTCTACAAAAAACATCACTGATCGGGCGGCTCGGGCATTGCGATCACAAGCAACCCGATCAGATCCGACCCGATCAGATCAGTCGCGATCAAACCCGATTGGGCCCACGCCGTTAGGGTTAGTAGGCTGACCTGCGGTTTGGGAATTGGCGGAAAGAAAAAGCATGCTGACCGTGACACAGCAATTGTGACAGCAATAGGTGGTCCTCAGTTTAGGCTACCCAGACTTTACACCCGTCCTTAAAGTTGCGGCCTACATACCTCAAGGGACGGGCCTTGGTTTATCACTTGAAAACCAGGTGAACCAAGTACCTGTCTGGGGAGAAACCATCGAGGCGGAAAGAGGGAGGGGACTGGGGGTTCCCAAACCAGCCGAGGCCGTGTTCGATAGCAGGTGTTTGTTTTGCAACGGAACGGGAGAGGGAAAAGTTTAGTGATTGCAAAAATTTGTTGCGCCTGGTTCTGGATGAAACTCACAAAACCAACCCCCCGCGTCCCCGTTCCGTAAGGCTATCGAACAGGGCCCGAAACTTTACCTAGGTTTTCCGCCCTTCGGCGCATTCATCCCCCAAACCTCCCCCCCTCACGAAATAACAACAGATTCGCTTGAGTCTGTTTTCCCAACCCATCGCCCCTAGCGAAACCCAACAGTTCCGCCAAGTCTTGTTTCACTGTGTCGCACGCACTGTTCTGGAAGAGAGCCTCTTCGCAAGCCAATCAACGTGTGTCAAAGGGTGTGCAATAGAAATACCCCCAGAAAATACCCAGAAGTATGTAGACCGCAGCTTTAAGAGGGGGATTGGTCATGTTAAGCGGGCACCATTCATCCAGAACTAGCTTCAAACTTTACTGATTGTTTCTGGCTAATCAATCATATGTGAAGGAAAGAGAGCCTAACACTTCGGAGACTCTTAGATAAATGGCACTGTGACTGCCTCAGAAAGCTGTGATTACAGAGCCCTGTATGTCCTTCAGAATCGTAGGGTATTTTAGCGAGATAGTAAAACCGTGAGAAGCAGGATACATCCCGACTTTCTGAGCTTGTTCAGGAGGAATGGGTAACGAAAGCAAAAGAGTGTTCATTTCACACTCTTATTTCGCGAAGTTGGACACCCTGGCAAGAGACCATTTTCCAGTGTTGTTGACACGTATGTATGTACATCGGCTGCGTTCTGTAGGCACGACAGAGGGGGGGGAGGCGGTAAATAGGAACCTTCCCCCAACTGCGTTTTTTGGGTCGAAAGGGCGGTCAGCCCGGAAAATGGTTCCGAGCCTCCCATTTACCCTCCGAACGTAAACGAAGGTAAATGGCAACAGAAAAGCCATTTACCCTCGCGGATATGAGGACGTAGGAAGCCGCCCATTTCCCCTCCCCACCTTCCTACGCTGGCAAATTTTGCCTCCTTCGCCCCGCCCTTCGAAAACTGCTTTTTCGGGGAGGTGCGACGGAGGGGGAAGGGAGGCGCTGGGTTAGGGAACACCACACCGGAACCCTAGAAAGCAAACATCCTTAACTTCGAATAGCCCAAACAGGGACGCAGCAACACTAAATGGTAAAACAAATACAGGTCACCATCTGGGTTAGGGTGGGAGTGCTAGGGGTCGAATTTCTTCCATCTGATTACCCTTCTCTCAACTTCAACCCTCGTTCTGATTTCGCGCAGCTCTATCTACCCATGAAGTGTGCGTGCGAAATTGTTCTTGTTTTTTCGTCATTTACCTTCAGAACCTTCCACCCGAGCATCCGAAATTTCCCACTTTCGGTTGTAGCAGGGGGGGGGGTGATTTCGAAGGGGAAACTGCTTAAGAACCCTCGTCATTTACCTTCGCCCCCCCTCCTCCCTCCCTCGGCGTATGCCTACAGAACGCAGCCATCGTTTCACGAAAGGCGTTTTCATAGTGAGGCTTCGACGGAAGCCGTTTGCGTGGGGCGGTGCTTGTTCCCGGATGTGGATGCCGAAATGCTTTCGCGAAAGTTCGACTGGCGATGTGGTATCTGAAGAATGATTTCCCCGCCTTCGTGAAGAGTTCGACATGGTACAGTCTGTCGCCCGCTTTGTATGTCCAGCGATGTCGGGCTCCAGAGGATCACGGACTTCACTCAGGTGGGTGGGATGGTAGGAGGGAGGTGGGGCTTTGGATTTGAACAAGCATACAGTAAATTCCAATGACGCTGGAATTCGACCTCACCGCGTAACAGCTCGTGACAGACAGAGCTCAATTTGTTTTGCAGAGCCCCTGCCAAATCCGAGCAAGGGTCGCAATTGTAACTTAAACACTAAACTTCTAAAGATAAATCCCATGATCTTGGTAAGGTCTATTGGTTTGAGTTTACCCTTAGGTTATTTATAAGAGGGTTGGTACTTGTGAAGGGTATTTTACTAAGGTTTACCCCTTATTCTTATGCATGTAGCTGGGATTTGCATTAAGGAGGATGGGCTGGTCATAAGGAAGGTTCTTTGGGAATAGGAGTAAGGGGAAGGTTCCTTGGAAGGTGGGTGGTTGGAAGTTCCCTTGGTAGTGGCTATGGGAGGATCTATTGGGGAAGTTACTTGGAAGGCAACAAGGCAACAAGGAAGGCAACAAGGAAGGCAACAAGGCATCAAGGAAGGCAACAAGGAAGGTTCTAAGGTGGAGATTCCCTTGGAGATATGGGTGAGCTCAACAGAGCACTCTCATTGGTTGGTTGGATTGCTAGGATCTTCGGCCAATAAGGAGAGGATTCTTCGGATTGCATGAATAAGATAGAAGGATGGTGGTTTGGGCATGCCCTTCCACTATATAAGTCCTTGTAGGTTGTGTGTAACTCATATTATCATAGTGCATTCTCACCAATGCCACAAGCTCTCTCAACCTTCTAGCTACCTTGTACCTTGGCCCACTCAAGCTACCTTGGAGTATCCTTCGAGTCTACCTTAGGAGGAACATCCTTTCAAGTGGAGAAGAGCCCGAGGGGAGGGTTGCAACTCTACAAGGAAGGAAGTGCTGTCCAAGAAGGGAGTCTCATACTACAAGTGTTGTAAGAGAGGTCATACGTATCCGGGTGATGCTCAAGAAGGGTGGTCAGGAAGTTTTAAAAGTTAGTGATTTTGTGGTGGCCCATACAGGTCCCTCTTTCCCTTTGGCTGAGAAAACGGACCTTGTGCGTGATTCTACTAACAACATGTCGACGATTGCTGCAGCTATGGGCCAGCTCCCGCGCTTCGATGGACGCTCTCCCCGACCCCAAGGTGTGGCAAAGCCAAGCCAAGAGGGCGTTGAGGTGCTTCCTATCGAACACGACGGACGAGCAGAAGTTGGACTACCTCCTCATGCACCTCACCGATGCTGCCTATGTGTGGGCGGAAAGCAAGGACTTCAAGACGGTAGCAGGCTTCGAGTTGTCCTTCAGTGAGCGGTTCGTGTGGGAGTCAACGGCAACGGTGATGCAGAATTTAGCAGTGTTGAAGCAGAAGAAGGGGCAATCAGTGACGGAGTTGGCGGACGAGGTGAGGCAATTGGCCTCGTACGTGAAGGAATACCTGACCGCCATGATGGTGAGAGCCTATATTGAGGGGTTGGAGGACCCGGGGTTGAGGGAGGTGTTGGGAGCTAGGCCGGTATCATTGGAGACAGCGGAGGAAGCAGCCAAGTACTTTGTATCGTATGCACAGCCAAAGGAGATGGCAAAGGAGGAGAAGAAGGTGAAGGAGGAGACGGAGGTGGAGAAGATCACGAAGCAGTTAGAGCAATTGACCATGCAACTCACGCAGATGCAGCAAGGTAGGGGACCTGGGATCCTACCTAGACCGGGAGGAGGAGCGGGAGGAGGTTTCAAGTGCTACCAGTGCGGGAAGGAGGGGCACATGGCAAGGGAGTGCCCTAATAAGGGGAGGGCAACCATGAACATGATGCAGCAGTTAGTGGAGAAGTCTAGACCCGCCATGACCATAGCGGAGTTCTTAAATGGCGAGGAAGGAGGAGTAGATATGTTGGTGGGAGAACGGAAGTGGCGAGCAGTTAGGGATCCGGAGGGATGGGGCATTGACGAGGCAAGGGAGGAGTTGAGGAAGAAGCTGGCGGATGGGACGGAGGAGGCAAAGGGGTCAAGGTTCGTGAGGGGGAAGGCGAGAATCTCGTCCCTCCCTACCTCCTACAACGTGGTGGATCAACTCAAACTCACACCAGTGAGTGCGAGTGTGTGGAACTACATCAAGGATAGTGACAAGGTGAGAAAGGAGCTGATAGAGGCCTTGAAAAAGGGGGAAGAGGAGAAGGAGGAGGGAACAGCACCTATGCAAGGAGTGGCGAAGATAGTGGCAGCCGCACCGGTGGAGGTTAAGGAGAAGGAGGCACCGAGGGCTAGCAACCTAGTATTTCAGATCCCACAGTGCGACGTGTATTTGGGGAAGCATCGGGTGACCGCCATAGTCGATTCGGGAGCATCACAAACCGCCCTATCACACGTGATAGCTAGGAAGCTCGGACTATTACCATACCTTCAAGATACCACCATAGAATTCACTACCTCTAGCGGGGATACGTCGAAGCCGTGGGGAATCCTACCGGATGTGCCGGTTAGGGTGGGGAAGCTGACTCTACCAGTGGACATAGCAGTGACGGGAGCGAACACCTACGACATGCTCTTGGGGCAGGATTGGATCTATTCGGCCAACGCAGATATCTTGACTAGTAAGGGGAAGATAGTCTACCAGGTTAACACCAAGGAGACCGACTCCGTGCCCATCACCACGGGGCCTATGGGAGTTGGTGGCCGTCCCTCTTCTGTGCTCCTCCCCTCCCACACAACCCACAGGAACATCAATGAGGAGGATGAGGAGCACATCAAGGCGTGGATGGAGGAAGCAGATTTTCTAAAGTGGATGGAAGAAAGGAGGATAGCCATGGAGGAGGAGGGAAGGACGGAGCTGAACGCGGAGAAGGAGGAGGAGTATTATTTATGGCTGAGGGAACAGGAGGAGGAGGAGCAGGATGAGGCTTCAAGCGGAGAAGAATCTGAGGAGGAAGAATTAGAGGAGAAGGAGCATGAGGGAGAGGGAAATGCAGAGGAGGCTTGGGGATATGATTTTGGAAGCCCAACGGCAAACAAGGTGGGTGCTTGGGCTAGTGGAGGCATGGGGATTGATTGGGATCAAGCTTATGATGAGATGGTGGAGAAGTACGTGGGAGAAGAGGATGAGGTCGATTGGGAAGTTGACTCCATGGCAGATGGGGAGGAGTACTTGGATCAAGATTGGGAGGATGGGGAGCTAATCTATGATAGGAAGAGGAAGCCGATTAGCACGGACCATCTCTTCGAGATATACAACTACCCGGCAGCCGAGAAGTGGAATTACGTGGCAGCCGAGAGTGGGGACGAGGGGAGAATCATCCTAGGCAGTTACTACACCCTCAAGAAGGAGGCGCCTAGAGTAGCTTGCCCTGCGTTCGAGGACCTACCCGTGTCATTGAACCACGAGCTAGAGGAGCAGCAGCAGAAGGAGGTGCGGACACTTTTGGTGGAGTATAGGGAGGTCTTTTCCACAGAGAAGGAGACACTAGGAACCCACCCCACCATCCGCCACCACATTGCCACCGGGAGTGCCAAGCCGATAGCCCACAAGTCATACCGAGTCTCACCTTCCGAACGCGCTAGAATCGAGGAGGAGGTCCAAACCTTGTTAGAGCAAGGAGTCATTCGACCGTCGGATAGCCCATGGTCATCACCATGCATCGTCATCCCCAAGAAGGACTTTGGGGATAGAGTAGTCATCGATTACCGCCCCCTCAACGCCGTGACCGAAGCCGCCGACCAGTTCCCCATGCCGCGGATAGATGACATCCTCGATAGAATGACGGGATCGCTCTATTTCTCGGTGCTAGATGTGAAGTCCGCCTACCACACCATCCTTGTAGCAGAGGAGGACATCCCCAAGACAGCCTTCGTTACCTCCTCGGGTCAGTACGAGTACGTGCGGATGCCATTCGGGCTTAGGAACGCACCCGCCACCTTCCAACGCCTCATGACAACCACATTCCGCACCCACAAAAACGCCATCCCATACCTCGATGACATCATTGTCTTCTCCAACAGTTGGGAGGAGCATCTTGAGCACCTGCGGGACGCATTTGAGAGGATCAAGGAGAACCACCTCTTGCTAAAGCCGAACAAGTGTGAGCTGGGTTTTTACTCCACCATCTACCTAGGGCATTTGGTGACATGGGAAGGAGTGAAGCCGGACGGAGGGAAGCTGGAGGCGATTAGCAACATGGCGGCGCCGGTAGACCAGAGGGGCGTGCGGGAATTCCTGGGGTGCACGAGCTACTATAGGAGGTTCATCAAGGGGTATGCCAAGGTGGCGCACCCTCTCACGCAGCTGCTCCACAAAGACCACCCCTTCGAATGGACACACGAGTGCGAGCAAGCCTTCAACGCTCTCAAACTCGCCCTCATCTCCCCCCCCATCCTTGCATTTCCAGATTTTTACCAACCATTCATCCTCCAAACAGATTTCTCGGCCAAGGCACTAGGGGCGATATTGGCTCAAAAGGACGAGAAGGGAGCGGAACGGGTGGTAGCATATGCAAGCCGAACTACGAGGGGAGCGGAGCGGAATTTGTCTTCAACACACGGGGAGTGCTTAGCGGTGGTGTGGGCGATCAAACACTTCAGGCCCTACCTCTATGGGAGCAAGTTCTTGCTGCAAACGGATCACCAAGCACTCCAATGGCTCATGACGGCGAAGGACCTCACGGGGAAGCTGGCTAGGTGGAGTTTGTTGCTGCAAGAGTACAATTTCACCATCACCTACAAGGCGGGAGAGACTCACAAGAACGTCGACGCATTGAGCCGCATGCAACAGGGGTTGCATCTTCATGCGGGGGGGGAAGCACCATTCCATTGGCATGCATACATCCCCTCACCCACCCATCCCATCTCCCACACCAGCTACCCCATCCCCATGTACACATCCCTTTTTCCCAAAGAACAGGGTGAAGACGAGGGGGAGAGTAGTGAGTCAGTGACCAAGGGAGAGAAGGAGGAGGATAGCAAGGAGGAGGATAGCACAGAGGAGGAGGAAGAAGCAGATAAGGGGGACGAGGAGGACAATGAGGAGGAAGAGGAGAATAGTACGGACAAGGAGGAAGAGGACAAAGAGAAAGGAGGGGAAGTAGAGGAGGAGAGTAGTGGAGAGGAGGAAGGTGAGGAGACCGGAGAAGAGGAGGAGATCTTCGAAGAGGGGCAACGGCCGGATGAGGGAATAGAGGAGGAGCAGCTGCTAGAAGAGATAGGGCAGCCTAAGAAGAAGGCAAAGGTGGAAGGAGAGGCAGGAGAGGAGGGGACTCCTAGTAAGAATCTCGCGTCCGAGACCACCCTCGACATTTGGGACGACGCCAACACCTTGTTCTTCTTGGAGAAGGGGACGGTTGATCCGGCGTGGAGCACGGCGGAGAAGAGGAGGGTGAGAGCAAGGGGTAAGAACTTCGAATGGAGGGATGGGAGGTTGCTGAAGAAGATCAAAGGGGAGTTGAAGCCGGTACCAAGGAAGGAGGAGAGGAGGGACATCATAGCATTTCTTCATGGGTTGGGGCACTTGGGGGTACCGAGGACCACGGACTTGGTGAAGAAGCAGTATGATTGGTACGGAGTGGGGAGTGATGTGGCGGCGTTTGTGAAGGGGTGTGCGACGTGTGTGTTTCAGAAGGGGGCTTGGACGGCGAAGGGAGAATTGCAGCTGGTACTGGTCTCGAAGCCGTGGGAGAGGGTAGTGATCGACTTCATCGGGCCTCTCCACACCACGGCCAAAGGAGGGAACAAGTATGTCATCTCGGCCATGGATCACTTCACCAAGTGGCCGGAGTGTAAGCCGGTAAGGAGTGCGGACGCGGCAACAGCAGCGGCATTTGTAGCGGAAAAGATCATCTCCAACCATGGCTGCCCACTAGTGATCCACACCGACAATGGGTCTCATTTCAAGGGGGAGTTTGGGGTGCTCCTGGAGAAGTTTGGGATCTACCACGAGTTCTCTCGTCCCGAACACCCTCAAAGCTCGGGGCTCATCGAGAGGTTCCAACGGACCTTGAAGGGGGCGCTGCTGAGACTTGGGGAAACCAACCCCTTGGAATGGGATGAGAACATCTGGTGGGTGCTACTTGGGTACAGGGCCTCAATCCATTCTTCCACCAAGTTTTCTCCCTTTTTCCTACAGTATGGGCGTCACCCAAACATCACGGGCACCACCATGTCGGATTTCGAGGTGCGGGAGCTGTCGGAGTTGTCCACGGAGGAGGAAGCGGATGCGGTGGCAGGATATCTCTATAGGAGGTCTTCAGAGATGGAGCTGGTGTTAGCACAGGCAGTGGGGAACCATGACAAGGCACAGGAGAAGCAGAAGCTGGACTTTGACTTGAGGAGGACAACGGCCTTAGAGATGGAGAAGTTAGAGAAAGGGGACTTTGTCCGCCTCAAGCCAAGTAAGAGGGTGGCGTGGGAGAAGCAGGCTAAGAAGTTCAAAACGCTATTTAAGGTAAAGGAGGTGGAGCAGTTCGATGTAGTGGTGGAGGATAAGGCGGGAGCTTCATGGAAGGAGTCTCGGGAGAACGTGAAGCTGGTGAAGATAGCACCTTAGAGATACACCCCCCCCTCTCCCCGCGAAGTATAGGTAACGCCTATACACCCCCACTCTCCCCGTGAAGTACAGGACCGCCTGTACACCCCCACGATCAAGCGCTCATTAGGTTACCTACTCTCGTTCAAGCAATCTTAGACTACCAACGACCAAGGCGATCGGGCGATCAACGGCGAACAAAGCGATCATAGGCTACCCTAGTTTAGATTAGACATCGAAGCGGAGTCGGCGGCGACCTTAGGCGAGCTCGGCATCCCGGGCAACGTGCGAAAGCAATCAAGAGATTCAAACCTACTCTCTCTCCATATCCTCCTCCTCTTCCAACCATCCATCCTCCTAATCGAGAGACGGGGGAGCTTGCGACCCGACTGATCCTCGCTTTTAGGGCATCTACAGCCATGGAGGACGACTACCTTTATCAACTGCTGGTGGATCTTCTCCAAAGGAGAGTAACGTTCGACTACTCACCTACGTTGGGGGTACCACGAGGCAACATGGAGGGGTTGGTGTTTCCGGACCTGAACATCGATTGGGAGGAGATTTGCGGTGAGGAGCCAGGAGAGGTGGTTGAGATACCTTGGCCTTTGATTGGAGTGGGTACGGACTACGAGATAGTGGAGCAGCCATGGGACATACACCTTCCTATCCCTAATGATTTCACACCCTTCTTCAACGAAAACACTCAACTTCTCCACATCATCCCCAACTCCCGTGGCGTAGACCCACACACTCTCTCTGACCCCATGGACCCTTACCACGGATATCATACATACCCCTTATGGCTCCCCGACCATAACTATGATTCGGATTTTGGTTCACCCATCTACTATCCTTCCGACCCCGACGCTCCATCTTCTCCATCCCCCTCCCCACCCCGACCTCCTACACCTTACTCCCCTACCGTAGACTCTGAACATGACGAGCCAACCATTCCCACCTACCCCTCTTATATCCTCCTTCGACATGAAACTATTTCCCCATCATCTTCACCCCCCTCTACCCCCATCAACTTACCTCATTCCCCTCCACCATCCCCTTCTTCTCCTACCTATACCCCCTTCTCACCTGGTTCTCCCCCTTCTCCCCTTCTACCCCCTGAGGAAGACTATGCCCTGGCTAGGTATGTGGTGATGGTACCCATGGAATACGAGTTTGAGCATGGAGAGATCTTCTTGGCACCGGATGGCACTAAGGTTCGGCGTGCATGGCAGGTTGAGTGGGTGAGTGGACCAGTTGTGGTGGAGTCACATTATCCTTTCTAAGGTGAAGAGAGAGAGAGAGAGAGAGCCTTTAGAGGATGGACTGGATTTGGTGAAGTAATGAGAGGATGGTAAGACCTCATGGAGTGGAATGGTATGACCCGGGATATAGGGGGTTTCTTTTAGAGTGTGGTATTGAGTGTGCCTTTGTATGATTTTGGTGTGGTATGTGGGGAATCTTGGGAAGGTACCCTCCCTTGTGTCGGGAGCCACAAGACCGCGTCCGAGAAAGTTACATTTGTAACTTAAACACTAAACTTCTAAAGATAAATCCCATGATCTTGGTAAGGTCTATTGGTTTGAGTTTACCCTTAGGTTATTTATAAGAGGGTTGGTACTTGTGAAGGGTATTTTACTAAGGTTTACCCCTTATTCTTATGCATGTAGCTGGGATTTGCATTAAGGAGGATGGGCTGGTCATAAGGAAGGTTCTTTGGGAATAGGAGTAAGGGGAAGGTTCCTTGGAAGGTGGGTGGTTGGAAGTTTCCTTGGTAGTGGCTATGGGAGGATCTATTGGGGAAGTTACTTGGAAGGCAACAAGGCAACAAGGAAGGCAACAAGGAAGGCAACAAGGCATCAAGGAAGGCAACAAGGAAGGTTCTAAGGTGGAGATTCCCTTGGAGATATGGGTGAGCAGGGCTGATTTTATCAGGGTAATTACACTGATTTCAGGGTGAATACAGGCTTCTCAACTGGTGATCCCTGCAATTTCAGCTTTTTTAACTTGTGAACTCTGATCCAATCAGATACGTTACTTAACGAACCCTGAAATATTTTAACTAGGCTCAGAGTAGTGTACTTGCGGACTATGTCTATGCAGAGTATGCGTTCGGTGGACCCTGAATGCGAGGGTATCGGGACGAAGGTTCCTCGAAATTTCCTGTCGATAACCCCCCCTTGTGCATAATCATTACTTCGCGTGCCCCCATGTGAGGTACCCCGTTCACGCCCAGGACTGACGTAATACCGACAACGAATTCCAACACCGTGCTGTACAGCACAGCTGTCAACAGTGACAACGCACCCAAATCAATGATATGTTGCTGCCACGCGCACCGCGCAGTGCACAGCATGCCTCCGCCATTGGCCAGAACGGCATGTTGACAGTATGTGGTGGCAGTCCTGCAGTCCTTGAATGAGTTCGGCCTTGCATTCACGGCCGAATTCATTGACGAATGCTGCCATCAACCGTGTGGCGTCGCGCCGCGGTGGTTTCGTGATGACCCCGCCATCTCCAAGCTTCCCTTCCTTCCCCCTACCCACAGCCAGGCTTCCTTCGCTTCCTGCTTTTTCTTCCATTTCGTGCGTTCAGTCTCACACTTTCCTCTCGCTCCATCTTTCCTCTTGCTCGCCGCCATGGAGGCCCTGCCGGACGACGAAGCTGCTCCTCAGACTGGCCCTGACGAGCCACCTTTACTGGCGAAACCGACAGCGCCAGCCCTGCCGGAGAAAGCATCAGATGCTCCCCGGTCTGGGCTCGATTTTCTTAGAGCTACCGGGGCTCCGGTCACACCAGAACTAGGTCTACCGTTCATGACTCTGCAGCTAGAATAACCCCTACTCCTTCCGATTCTCCACGTCCTGTCGCCTTCACTCTACCCCCGGCTGTTGCTTCTTGCAGCAAAGATCCCCCACCGCCCTCGCCTAGCCCCACTGCAAGCACGATGCGTGTGTCTGTTGGCCCGCCGTCGGCTTCTTCCACTCCCAAGCGAGCGCGAAATGGGAAATGGGCGCAGAGTACTCTGGTCGTCGGAGGCCGCCGTATTCCACCGCCTGACAATGACAAGCCGGCAGATCCTCCACCGAAAGAAGCTGAGCTGCCGGAGGAAGTTGACATCCCTGTGCGCGCGGATACCGGCTCGCCCGCACTCACCAAGATGCAGCTGCGTGAGCAGGTGTACCTGGAGGCGAGTATTAACTACGAGACGAAGTGGTCGCGACACTTTTCCTGGCTGGTGTTTGGGAAGACCAAGGACGGTTTTCCCTACGTGAAGTGCTCCATCTGCGTGTCGTACGCGAAGGGGAACACGAGATACGCCATGCAAGGTGACGACGGTGGCCGTGACTTGCAGACGCAGTCGTTCAGGGCGCACGAGCATACGGACGCACACAAGGCGGCGGTGGATCGGCAGTTGAAGCTTGCGGCGGGCATCCGCGAGGGCCAGCAGGTAATTTCGGACTTCATCAACTCCTACGTCGAGGGGCGGCGCGCGATTCGACTCATGCGGTCTACGCAGTTCCAGTGCCAGTGTGACGCGCCGATTAGCATGTTTCCGAAGCTGATGCGGCATCTTGCGGAGCAGGACACGCCAGACATTCCTCGTCAATCTTACGGCGTGTATCTGACACGGTAATTAATCTTAGCGTTAGAATGCAGCGTGACATATGTTGCTTGTCGTTATTTTTTCCAAGTTCCTGACCATTTCATTCTCCTCTTTGCAGATACGGCTTCCAGCAGATGGTCCACAGCATCAGTACATACCTCACTCGGGTGCAGATGGACCACATCCTGGCATCCCCCTTCCTGGGCATTCAGTGCGACGAGAGCACCGACCGAACGCGAGGGAAACACATGATTGTGTACCTTACGTTTTTTAAGAATCGCCAAATCGCTTGCGAGTTCTTTACCTTGCTGACGGTTGAGCGGTGTGATGCAGGGTCTCTGTTCGAGGTGCTTCTGAACCATCTCCGCTCCGCAGGCGTGGATGTGTCCAAGATCGTCGGTATCAGCACGGATGGGGCGTCAGTCATTACCGGGAAAGATAACGGATTGGTGGCGCGTCTTCGGGAACACGTTCCGCACCTGTTTTCATGCCACTGCATCGCCCACCGGTGTGTATCAAGTTTTGTAGAAGTTCTGGTTTTTTTCGTTTATGGTTTACCCATTACCTCTTGATTTTTATTCCCTGCATCCTACAGTGAGGCGTTGGCTGTGAAGGACGCCGCTGAGTCAAACGAGGACCTTGGCATGGTCGACAAGGTGGTGCGCACAGTGGCGACGCTTCTCGGGAACTCAAGCGTGTGGAGTCAGAGGTTCAAGTACCTGCAGCGAGTGATCTACCAGACAAACCTCGAAGTCCAAGGAATCCACACGGTTCGGTGGCTGTCACGAGGGGATGCGGTGCGCAGGCTGTGCAAGGTCCTCGGCGCTTGCATCGTGCTGCTCTGGGAGCACAACCACAAGGCCTACGAGATTGTGACGTGCTACAAGTTCCAGTTCTGTTTGTTTTTCCTAGCCGACATTCTGGCCGACATGAACGACCTCAACCGATGCTTCCACAGACGTGAGGTGAGGTTGAATGCTAGTAAGTTGTTGAGATGAGGAGTGTAATCCTGCACTGTTGCTAATCCTACTCTCTGTTGTCGATTGCTTCTGTGACAGCTGGATGTGACTGAGATTGCGAAGACCATTGAGTCCACCACGGGTGATCTGACGGAACGCTACTTGACGACAACCAAACCGTTCGGGGGCGAGGGGAAGAGCTGGCTGGTAAACTTCCTCAAGGTCCACAAGGAGGGAGGAGGCAAGCAGGTCCGGGTTCGAGGCGTGGACGGAGAGGGACGCCCAATCAACCACCTCTACACCATGCATGAGAGGAAGCTGAAGGGCCACAAGCAGGGAAGCACCTACGCAGACTGCGTGAAGCTGTGCCGCCAATTCGCCCGCGACTGCGTGGACAACCTCAACACCCGGCTGGATGACCTTGGGAAGTTGGGCCCGACGAAGCTGTTCCGGGCGGGGAAGTGGCCGAAGATCAAGGCCCAGCGAGAGAAGAAATGCAAAGAGTGGCTGCACTGATGTAGCAGGCTCTTCCGCCACAAGCTGCCGGGATTCGACCTCAAAGCAGCAGAGAGGGAACTCCCGACATTCTGTGCGATCATGGAGACACACCATGAGATGGAGAGCTTCTCCCAGGGCCTGTACAACTTTCTTGGGAGCGCAGACTCAAAGAGGTAGTCCACTGCTTGCGTACGAGATTTTCATATTCTTGGTTTTTAACTTGTTGATTTTAAACTTGGTGATTTTTTACTTGGTGATTGTTTAGGTTGTAGATTTCTTCTCCAGTTCTGTTGTGTTTCGAATGTGCCTGGCAGGAGATGGCCCAACCTCATCCTGCTGTGGCAGGCGCTGGCTGTGCTTCCCCTCTCCACCGTGGAGTGCGAGAGGGGGTTCTCCAGGCAGAACATCATCAAGTCCTGGGTTCGAGGAGCGCTCTGCAACGCGCGTATGGGGGAGCTGGTGCAGATATCGCTCCTGAAGTACGAGATCGACTGGTCGGAGGCACTGGAGGTGTGGAGGTCCATGCGGAAGAGGCGCCCTGTGAAGAGCCTGAAGCTGTCCGTGGCAGAGAGGGAGAGGAAGGGGAAGTGGAAGGAGGATGAAGATGTGGCTGCTGGAACTGAGAAGAAACGAGGAATGAAATGACTAAGTGAAAGTTGGGTACAAGAAGCAAACCCTAGAAAACTGTACCCCATATGTGCTACCCCACTATAGCCTACAGTAGCTATGTCATATAAATCTGACACACCCCCATAGGCAAAGTGGGGGAGAACAAGGGGTCACAAGACCAGTCAAGCAAAGCAAAGCAAAACAAGCTCAGGGTGGATCACAAAGTCACCACACATTCCGAGCACAAGTTCAAGGCCACAAGGCCAGTTCACAAGCAGGAGTACACATATATATAAAAAGGGCTAGACAAACAAGAGCAGGTATATATATATGTAACAGTACAAGCAAGGTCAAGAGGTGAGCAAGTGAGGCAAGGTAGGCACAAGGCCCAGCTGAGTACAGAAGCGCTGATGGTCACAAGGCGCAAGTGCCTTGGTGAAGATATCAGCAGTGTTGGCCTCAGAGGCCACGTACGCAAGACGCAGCTGACCACGCTGCTGCAGCTCACGAGCAAGAAAGTAGCGGAGAGCAATGTGCTTCGTTCTGTGCTCCAGTCGCTGCTCCCGACACAAGGCCAGCATGGCCTTGTTGTCTACGTACAGCACTGGAGGAGAACGAGGCAACTCTCCGAGGTCAGTCAGCAGGTAGGTGAGCCAGCGAAGCTCCTGTGCAGCCATGGCTCCTGCGTAGATCTCAGCCTCACAACTGGAGCCGAGAACAGAAGACGAGCGAGTAGCCCGCCACGAAACAGAGCCGGAACCAAGGCTGAAGGTGTAACCCTGTGACGACCGCTGCGTAGCCTGGTCGTCAGCCCAAGAAGCGTCTGCGTGCCCAGTAAGGACCACTGGACTCTGCCCTCCAAGCACAAGCCCCATGCCCGACGTACTGCACAAGTAGCGCAACACCCTCTTCGCTGCAGCCATGTGCTCCGGTCTGTGTCTCCCAGGAGCAACATAGCGTGCAAGAATGCTAAGAGGGTATGCAAGGTCAGGTCGTGTGCAGGTCATCAGGTACATGAGGCAGCCAACAAGCTCTGGGTACGGGCCACTCGACTCTACGGACTCATCCGAAGGTAGAGCTGAGAGCGAGTGGCGAGTAGGCAGAGGAGTGGCCTGAGGCGAGGAGTACGTGAAGCCGAAGCGCTGAAGGACCTGGTGCACCATGTGTGACTGAGTCAGGGTAATGGTGCGGCGTGCTCTGTCCCGAGTGATCTGCAAGCCAAGGTAGCTGCGCAGTTCACCCAGGTCAGTGCACGTATGTCTCTTCTACAGCTCGGACTTCACGTGGGCTAGTCCAGCAGTGTCAGCTGTGGCAAAGACCAAGTCGTCGACGTACACGAGGATGTAGAACGGCGGCAAAGAAGTGTCGGTGCGCAGAAACAGCGACGGGTCGGCAGTAGAGGGAGCAAACCCAAGAGCCGCAAGTGTAGTCCTCAGTGTGTCGTGCCACTCACGCGGTGCCTGGCGGAGACCGTAGACTGGCCGCCGTAGGCTCCACTGGGTGCCAGGAGGAAAAGACCCAGTGAAGCCAGGTGGGCGACGCAGCCAGATCTCCTCGTGCAGGCTGCCCTGCAAGAAAGCAGTGCTGAAGTCAAGAGAGTGTAGCTCGTAGTCACGGTGAGCAGCTACGTGCAGCAGTACCCGAAGAGTGGTCATCTTCGGGGTGGGAGAGAAGGTCTGAAAGTAGTCAACTCCCTGCCGCTGACTGAAGCCACGAGCCACGTAACGCGCCTTGAAGACAGGCGGAGAACCCGGCGGTCGCTTCACCCTGAAAATCCACATGCCACTGACGATGTTCGCCCCAGGAGGGGGAACAGCGTCAACGTAGGTGCCTGTGGACTTCCAGGAAGCCATCTCTGCGTCCATAGCTGCCTGCCACTGAGAGGAGTAGGGACCCTCTATCGCCTCCGCGTAAGAGCGCGGAGTCGGGATGTCAAGTGCATCCGGGTCTCCCTCAGGGGTAAGCAGTACGGACACGAGATGAGGTGAAGCAGCGGCCAAGCACTGGATCTCCTCCTGCCTGTCCTCAAGGACGTCCGTGCCAAGGGCACACTCACCCCCGACGGACGGAGGACAGACAGACTCAGACTCAGCAACAAGACTGGCGACGTAGTCTAGGCGACAGCGAGCAGCAAAGTCGACGAGCTCAGCAACTAGAGCAGACGCAGCAGTGGACTCAAAGGAAGGGTCAGTGACAACCGTAGCAAGGAGACGCGTGACAGTAGGACTGGCAGCGCGAAGAGAGTCCGACTCCGGGTCGGCAAGAGTAGGAAGAGAAGACTCAGGAGGAGAAGGCAAAGGGGCACGCAGAGGAGCAGTGGACGGACGCAGAGACATCCGGTGCGTGCCAGGGACAGGAGGAGGACGCTGACGCGAACCGCGACCACTAGTGCGAGCAGCACGGACAGGCGACGCAGGGCGAGACGCAGGCTCACGACGCTCAGCAAGACCTCCAGTAGGACCAGTGTAGGGAGACGGAGCAGGCAGTGGGGAGGCCGGCTGTAACTGTAACTGCGACGGGACAGGCTGTGGACACTCTAAGGGAGGAGGAGGACCAGTAGAAGGCGGGAGACCAAGAACCTGCTGAAGGAGCGGAACGAAGTACGGCCGAGGCCGCGCGGCGACTCCAGACACAGGAGGGACAGCACCAGCAACCCCAGGGGCAGCACCAGCACCAGTAGCAGCTCCAGCTCCAGAACCCCCAGCAGCACCAGTAGTACCCCCAGCAGGACCGCCTCCAGGACCGACAGTAGTAGCCTCCGCGCCAACACCCGCAGCAACTCCAGCTCCAGAAGTACCCGCAGGTCCAGCAGCTCCAGTACTCCCAGTACGAGCACCTCCGGGACCCGTGGCACCAGCTCCCTCAGAAGCAACAGAACCTCCAGTACCCGCAGCACCTCCAGCTCCAGCAGCTCCAGCAGCTCGCCTCCAGCGCCGGCAAACCACTCACGCAGCTCCTGGGGAGAGAGTGGCTCCCGGCGAGAGGGAGCACCCGGTGAACCGCCAGGCACAGCACCACCAGGCGTAGCACCCCCAGGCTCAGCACCTCCAGGCGTAGTACCCCCAGGCTCAGCACCCCCAGACGCAGCACCCCCAGGCTCAGCACCTCCAGGCGTAGTACCCCCAGGCTCAGCACCCCCAGTCGTAGTATCCCCAGACTCAGCACCCCCAGGCTCAGCACCCCCAGGCTCAGCACCCCCAGGCGTAGCACCCACACGCTCAGCACCCCCAGAGTCAGCACCCCCAGGCTCAGCACCCTCAGCAGCACCAGAGTCACCAGCGACCTCGACAGGCTCAACAGCGTCTACCTGGGACACACCTGAAGGGGCAGGACCCTGAGGGGGGAGGGGGTCTACCGGGGGGGGACCTGGTACAAGGAAGAGCGGTGGCGGGGGGAGGGACGGAGTGCGGTAGGGGAAGAGGCGGTAGTAGGGGACCGACTCGTCGAACGTGACGTCCTGGGAGGACAGAACACGGCGAGAGGTGGGGTGGTAGAACTGCCACCCTGGGGCGTCAGGGGGGAAACCCAGGAAGACGCAAGGAGCAGCACGAGGGGACAGCTTGTCCGCAGACAAGTCGCGGACAAACGCCCGAGATCCCCAGACACGGAACGCAGACGCATCGCCAACCTTCCCCGTCCACAGCAAAGCTGGGGAGGTCTCCGGCATGGAGACCCTGGGCTGAAGGTTGATCTGATGCGCCGCGTACCGAACCGCAAACGGCCACAAAAAATGGGGGGCAGCCGCATGCATCATGGACGTACGGGCGACGTCCATGACCATGCCAATGCGGCGCTCAGCAATCCCATTTTGCTGTGGAGAGTCCGGAAGCGTGAAGGTCTGGCGGATGCCTCGTGCACGACAGTAGGCTCGCAGAAGGCCAGAGGAGAACTCTCCGCCTCTGTCAGAGTGCAGACGCAGAACAGGAAAGTCCGAGCCAAAGCTCCGCCTGAGCTGGAGACGAGCTGCGCGGATCCAGTCGATCAACACCTCAGTGACATCACCCTTGCTGCGCAGGGGGAAGACTGTGGTGTAACGCGAGTAGTCGTCAACCACCAGCAGGAAGTAGCGCTCGTGACCCTGTCCACGGACGCGGGCCGGGCCCCACACGTCCATGTGAAGCGTCTGCAGCGGGGCCTCTGTCGGAGGAAACTGGGAGGAGTGAGGGGTAGCCCGCTGCCGTCCCTCGACACAGGGGACGCAGGTAGGGCCTGGCCCCGGAGGAAGGGGAGGGAGGGACCGGGGAAGACCAGAGACAAGGACACGGGAGGCCATGCTCCGGAGACGAAGCAGGGAGGGGTGGCCAAGGCGGTGGTGCCAGAGGAGAGTCTCGTGAGACAGGAGGCGACACGAGCAGGGGGCAGACTCAGGACCAGACCTGGACGCTGCAGCAAACACCTGACCCGACGCA